TTCTGATTGGCCTGTCCTGTCAGAAACGCCCCTTCCTTCTGATTGGCCTGTCCTGTCAGAAACGCCCCTTCCTTCTGATTGGCCTGTCCTGTCAGCAGGCAGCCAATGGAATGTAGCTACGATTTGGTCTCCACCACCCGATCAGGGGAGGTTAATGGATCTCAGCTTTCAAAATAGCACGACAGGTTGGCTGTGCCAGGCAAGCTCCCCAGACTCTGGCAATGTCGCCTGCCCCCAGGGAGGGCAGCTGTGCCCCATTAAAAGGAGTTGGGGTGTGTGTGTGTGTGTGTGTGTGTGTGTGGCGCGGGGTCCTGGGGCTAGAACCCAGGGCCTTGTGCATACAAGGCAAGCACTCTACCAGCTGAGCTATATCCCCAGCCCTAAAACTCAGTCTTTTAAATAAATATTGTTGATACATTTCGTAAAAATTTAAAGGTCTATACACTTAATTTCTGGGTCATTAAGATTGATTTTTAATTTTTAAGTTAGTTGTTAATCATTTTTTAAAAATTACACATATAATACCAGACCATATGTTCTAAAGGGGGAAAAACCAAAACAAACCCTAACACTACAGATGTGATAAAAGACTGTCCTCTGTCCCACATGTCTTCCCAGCCCACTTCCATCCTTGAGGGTTAAATTATAAATTATTGTTTTACATTTTCACTACACATTATTATATCCACATTTTCTACCTTTTTATGATGAAAAATTTAAGAGAGAATGAGAATTTGTATAATGTGAATTTTTTATATTATTCCTCAAATTTATACATTGGTTGGATATTAATCAATGTATAACCTGAATACTATTTAAATAACCCACTCCAAAACTCAGTCTCTCTTTCTTTCTCACTCCTCTCTATGTCTATCCATCTATCCATGTATCTATTTATGTATCTATCATCTATGTGTCTTTATTATCCATGTTATCTATCAATAATTTGTCAATCACCTATGTGTCTATTTTTACCCACCTATCCATTTGCTTGTGTATCTATCATCTATATTGTCTATCTATTTCTATTTGCCTATCATTTACTTATCAATCTGTTTTATATCTGTCATCTCTCTTCCCATATAGCTATAGGAGGAATTGCTATATAGGTTTAGTTTCTAAACAAAACTGTAACATTGTGCATGCTTCACTTTGTGTGAACCCTGAGAAGCTTCCTATGTCACTCCATACAGACAGACCTCACTTCTTTTCCCCCATGGTTTCAAATTCTGTTTTTAAACAGGACATGGTGGTGCATGCCTATAATCCCACAACTCAGGAGGCTGAGGCAGGAGGATTGTAAATTTAAGGCCAGACTCCGAAACTTAGTGAGGTCCTAAGCAACTCATGGTGACCCCGAATCAAAATAGAAAATAAAAAATGTTGGGGGTGTGGCTCAGTGGTAAAGCCCCCTGGGTTCAACCCACACTACCAAAAATTTAAATAAACATAAAAAAATAACATGCTGTTTTTGTTTGAGAGGTTTTGAATTTTGAACCATACCTGCCAAGTCTCTCCACATCGTCCACTGTCTCTGGCAAGGCAATGCCCTTGGTTTCAGGCAAAAGCATCACGAGGCCACCACAGACCGACGCCAGGACACCTGTGGAAGAGAGAGGCGTTACCACTGGGGACACAGAAGACGTGCCTGCCACACTCACTGATCTTCAGTGGCACCTGACAACAGCAGCACTCTGCTGCCCCGCAGCTCCCCGGGCTTCAGCGACTCTCCACCTTCCCCCAGCCCTGGGGGCACCTGGCTCCCTGCACCCCCAGAAGGCACCTGTCCATCCGTCAGCTAACAACCACAGTTACGTGTCATTTGACAACAGGGCCGGGTCCTGGGGAGTGTCTTCAGGTGACCTCACTGCTGTGCCAGTGCCATGGCATGTACTTGGGTCGACTAAGATGGCGATGTCACCAGGAGATACAATCCTACGGGACTTCCTTCCTACTCGGTGTGGGTGGCTGACCGGGCGCCCTGGTGTGGTGCCTGACTATGGGGCTTCTCTGCTCCACAGGAAACAGCCACCAGACAGGGATGCCTCCACCCGCTCCTGAGGCCACAGCTTAATAGCATCCCCTCCGACTCCATCGCGTGACACTCTAAGACTCGGCCCTGCCTCTGCCCGATGGCAAGGCCCCTGTTCTGACTTCTTGCTGACTAACCAGGGTACTCACTCCAGCACCTTCGACCTATTGGTGGGAGCATTGGAATGCGCTGGAACCCTCACCTTCCAAGAGCTGACTCAACTTCCCTGTGGCCATCCTCCCTTCTCTGCCCTTTGGAGCCCAAATTCTTGAAACATCATCTTCTCCTGTTTCCTCCACTTCCTCATATCCCAGTGGTGTGCTGCCGAATGTTTAACAACCAGCTCTGGAAAACAGAGCCCTGGCTCGTAGCTGTGCCCATTTCCATGGTGTAAATGCCCTCACCGTGGCTATTTCCAGCTGCCAGCATGCCCTCCCTGAACGCAGCATTGGGAGGTAGTGGACAGTAACCTCCATTCTGTGGTATTTCCAGCACAAAGAAATGGTCCTTGTCAGTGACCCTCAGAACACACACAGGAAAATGAATCAGGAGCTGTTGTGTATTTATTTTCCCTGTGTTTAATGTATCTTACCTACTGTGTTTTTAAATGACGGCTGTGTTTAAAGATTGGCTCACGTAATTCTTGAAGACATCACGTGTGGCCCTGCTGAGCCATCAGGAGCCAGTTCCAACATACCACGCTTCTCAGACTGCAGCTCACACCGTTCAATCTGGGTTCTGCCCTGGGCCCTTCCTGGCCCTGCTCCAGCCAGGTCCCCAATTGCCTCCTTCCCCAGATCGAGTGGGGCTGCTTCTGGACCTTATTGGTGGATCTTTCTCGTACCCACCCTGCGAGATTCCCACCTTCCCCGCTTGCCTGTTTCTCCTCCTCTCCTCCCACACCCCTCCCCATCTCCGGTGTCCTAGTTCCCAGTCACTCCCCCAGCCTCACTGGTGATCTGTGCTCAGATGCTCCCAAATCCCCCTCCCCAGTCCACACGTCTCTTCTGGGCTTGCTGACACCAGGTGTCCTGGGTTCTCAACATTGTGACTTGGATACTTTCAGGATCCCCTTGTCACACGGCCTCCTGCGGACTGACTCTGTGCCTTTCTGGTCTGTGGTTTCCCCTGGGGGTGTGGGCTGCCATACCACTGCTCTGCTGTCCCTGTCCTCTGTCCTGCCTGCCAATCTGGCTCCCAGTGCTTCCTGCGTCCGTCTGCTCCTCTCCCTCCCTCTGCCAGCTTCTGCTTAGACCAGGTCACAAAGGTCTCTCCCTAAACCACAGCATTCTTCCCATCATCTCTCCACTGGCACCGTTTCCTTCCAATTCATTTGACAATTGCCATCAGAGTCCCATCTCCAAAATGCAAATCTAGCTGTGTCACCCCATGTAAAGCTTTGTGGTAGCTTCTCACTGCTGTTTGGATAAAGAACAAAGCCTCCACGCGTCTGAGGAGACATTCTGTGACCTGTCTTCCCCTGGTGACAATTCCCTTCAGGCTCCAAGGCACACTCTGGACTCCATCCTTTAACCTGCTGGGGCTCAAGGACACCGTCTTCCTCTTGCCCTGGGCCTCCCCGTGGCCTGGAGCACAGCCCACATGTGTCGTTTCTTCTCCAGACCACAGCCTGGACATGACTTCCGTCCTCCCAGCTTTCTCTGGTCTACTCCAAAGGCCAGCATCCCTGTGGTGTGCTTCTCCGGGGATTTCAACATTTATCAGGCTCGACTGTTCGGATTTTTAGAAACTTGGCTTCTCCCCAGCCAGCTCTGGGGGGAAGGGCCTACCCCCAGCCCCGGTGCCAGCTGGGGCAGCTCTGGTCTGCAGGCTGGGCTGTAGTCTCAGAAGACTGGGCTGAGTCGTCTCCCAGACCACTCTGACCTTGTGGGACAATGGTGCCCTCTTTGCTCTTTCATGATGGCCACAGAATTAACCCTGAATTTGATTATCAAATCCCATTAAATAATTTGAAATGATCTTGTATTAAGCTCATTGGTACCATGTGGTCAGAAGCTGGTTGTCTGTCAGGGGAGTTTTGCATGAGAGAATGTGTGTCTCAGGAACTCACTTTCTGTATTGAGCAACAAATGAGCAACATTCCCTCCCTAGAGTAAGGAAGTGGAGATGGAGGAAGGGCAGGGTAAGAAAGGGCCATCCTGTGTCCTGACTGCTGCAGAGCACAGAGAGAGGCGTGAGGTCCGGCAGGACAGATGGAACAGCCCTGGAGAAACCCTTCCCGAGGCCTGAGGTCCCTCCCCAGACAGGGCTGGGTGGCTGCACATGATCCATGAGGACTGGGAAGGAGGCGTGGACTTGAGGGACGTGGAGGAGGTTACAGTGTATGTGGAGGAGGTCTGTGTCCCCTGCTCTTTCAGAACAGCCTTTTTAGATCATAGCCAAATAAGATGTGACATTGACAGATGTCAGACGTTTAAAAACACACAATTAATCTTCAGGCTGATTTTTAAATCATAAATCATAAAAGAGTTTTGCAGTATTTAATTTTAACTCAGAACTAAAGAAGAAGGCTGACAGGATCTCTGTTTACCTCCACTCTTCAATATAAAGTAAACTAAAAGCATTTAGGATTTCACATTTTATTATTATATTAGGATTACCAGATGTCATCCACATCAAACCTCGTGGCCACTGCAGCTTCTGTTAATACAAAGAACACAGACGGACGAAGCCCTTTGGGGCACCACGTAACAGAGTCCTTACCGAAGATGATCAGAGGTAGCTCCAGCCACACGGCTGCCAGTCGGAAGAGCAGAAATGGGGCTATGATTCCCCCAAAATCACACAAACCCGAACAGAGCGAAACCCCAAAGTTTCTGCAGAATGAAAAGTGGTTTTAAGTGAAAAGCATTCAAATTTTTTAAAAAATCAAGATATTATAATATTCAGAAATATTAAATAGCAGAGAAATCGTGGCCACACTTTCCATTTCTACCGTTTTTAACTCTGAAAATAGCTATTCTCTTGCACTCCAGCCCTTTCCTTGCTGACTGCTTCCCAGCGAGGGTCGTGAGGAAGCTGCAGTGTTGGTGGAGTGACCTTCATTCATCAGCAGCTCACTAGCTGGCCTGCTCCGTGACACACGGGCCACCTTGGTACCCTTGCTTGACTGAAAGATGTGCCCATTGGGATATTTCTCCAGCCAAGGAGGCCAGTTTGCCCGACACCATGTGCACCATTGGATGTCCTTCAATAACCAGCTGCTCACAGGAGCAAGGCTTGCATTGAGCTCAGAGGAGACACCACAGCCTGGGCACAGGGCAGTGCCGCAAGGGCAGGCTGAGCCCGCCTTCAAAGAAAGGGCACCAAGCGGTTCCAGCTGTGCCCATAGCTGTGGATAAGGTCATTTTAAGGAGGAAGAGGTCTATTACACAGGTGGCAGGTAGCAATACAGAAAGCAGATGGAACTCAAAGCTTATCTCTTTGCTGGATGAGCTCATCCCAGCCGACAGAGCACCAGGCTAAAGGAACATTTGGCTGCAGTTAATTAGGAGAAATAGGACACATGTGTTGGAATTACCGTAATGTTGTTGGGTACAATTCTGAATTCACCAAATAAACTATTTCAAAGGCCATCGTTATCCCTAGTCGTCCCAGGGTAGCCACGGTGGTCCTCAACCATGCCGTCCCTGCAAGCACAGAACATGGAGTTAGGGGTCTGATTCATGAACATTGGACAGAATGACAGAGGCATTGGCTTAATGTCCCCCTGCCTAAGTCTTTGCTAATTTAAGCACAAATAGTAAAATCTTCTAATACTGCAGACAAATTTTAAAATAACAACAACTAGGATGGTAGCTAGTATTTTGGTGTTAGAGATGCCGTTCTGAGCAGGGTTAGATTATAGAAATACAATTCTAGAGCCACTTGTCAAGTGGTTACTACATGGAACCAATGTTCCTTGTAGTGTCCTCTTAGAGAGCAGGAGCCCCCTGTCCTTTGGTCTGGAAGGCAGTCTCACTGTGCCCTTGAAAACATTATCACAGTCAGGTGCTCACTCGCCTGTGCTCTCTCTGAACAAACCAGGAAAATTTCTCTCGAACTACCTTGGTTTTAGAGAGTAGCAAGGCTTTGAGGATTGGGATCTTGGGAAGGGGACATCTAAGCTGAGTGTCATCCCTAAGGCACAGGCCATTCATTGTCATCCTCATCCCCAATCATGCTACTTCCTCCAAGAAATCATCCAGGAGGATCTACATTCTTACAAGCCAGTGGGTTCACCCATTTTAAAATGGACCATTTGAGGTTGCTGTAGCTATGTGAAGAAACTCCCTCTTCCTCCCCAGAAAATTTGGGAAATGCTAAACATTCTCTATTAAACATTTTCTTTCTTTAGTTTTAAGGGCAGAGGAATTCATCGTTTTAATCCTGAAACATCTGTGGTCTAAATTTCTTAAGAGTTGTGCAATTCACGTTTCCCTTTCCTAGAGGCCATGATATGAGGATCTGTGACTGCACCATCAAGACCAGAGCTGCTGCTCTCCAAAGCCAAGCGGGGCTCCCAGCGTCTTTGAACATGGAGCCGTCACCGTCACCGTAGTTTAGTTTTAGTAGAGAAGTAGTCGTGGATGAGGGGAATGAAACAAGAGGCTCAAGCTCAGTAGAGTTGTGTGCGTTCTTTCCAGAGACTATTCAACCAAATAAACAAACAAATGCTAAAACTCTCTCAGTAAAACCATTTCCAGGAGGGCAAGCAGAGAAAAACACGGGCTGAGAGTCCAGATTGCGTCTTTACTGCAATTTAACTGCAAACGGCCTGAGGAGCACTTCCTAATATATTTCTTGTCTTCCCAGACAGAACACCTGTGGCTGTCACATCAGTAGTCACACCAGGGAGCGAGGGTTATCCGAGCAGCGCTGATGCCACCATCTGCTCTGGCACAGAATGGTCGTAAACATGTGTTTTGTTTAGGCTGCGCTTTTTCATGAAGCTCAGGGAGGGGGACTCGGAAATTCATTCCAGTCCCGTCCTTCCAAGAGCAGGTGCTGCTGGGAATGGAAAGTAGGAGCTCTGGCCCAGATTCCCTGGGTCCCAGCCTGATGGGGCCACCTCCCGCTGCTCTCGGGCTGCACTGGAGAAGGCCACCTGCCACCGTGGAAATAACTCCCTGATCCACATTCGGTATAAGCCAGGGGCTTCTTTTTACTACATCGAGATTGCTCTGTAACTGAGTCCTGTGACGAGCTCAATTCCAATTTAGGTTTATAACTGAGGCTGGAGCTGTTGGGTAGAAATGAGGTAGCGTATAGCATGACTGTAGTCTGGTTGGTGACTGTAGAAAGGACAGCAGGTTCTATGTTTAAGATAAGTGGCAGGACGCCATTTCCAGCCACCTCCACTGTTCAAGACAAACAGGGGATCTGACCACAGCTGCTTGCTTGAAAGTAACTGAGACTCTCATTTAAATGCATTTATAGGCTAAAAGGTACTAGGTGCAGGGGGAACATTACACATTTTTAAGCACATTGTGATCACATGGAATTGGCACATGAAGATGGCAACACAGCTTAGGAGTATGTTAATTTCTGGTCCTCAAAACCATGTATATACTGTTAACCCCTTGATTTTGTTGCTACTCTATCTCTGGGACAATGGCACAGTCTCTGTCCTTGCCATTCTGTCTCTGGGGAAGCCAGCTTTCCATGTGAATCTATTGCAATAAACGACCCTATCCCTGTCTTTGTGAGTCACGTTTGATTTCTATCCTGCATGAGCTCAAGGACATACTGAGGTGGTGACCAACAGAACCAAGTGAAAACCAAGAAACCAAATCAACACACACACACACACACACACACACACACACACACGCATGCACATGCACACACACGCACACACACACCATAAAAAGCCTATGCAGTTAACTTAAATAGTCAACTCAGTAAAACAGAAAATGCCATCAAGTTGAGCTCCCAGTTGATGTCCTGCTCACCGACCTGGATCTGAAACACTCCCAGTTCTTCTCCAAGCAAGGGAGTTTAGACTCAAACTACTCTGGAACAGAGATTTTGTGGAAATGTGTACAAAAGAAGTCCCTATGGCACTCCATTGTTCATTAATGAGAAGAGGGAAAAGAAAACATTTTATTAGGAAGTCTGAATCACATGTGAAAAATTTTGTATGCACAAGAAAAACTTCAAGTGTCCCAGGAATATGTTATCAAATTCATTTTAGAGCAGAAATAGCCATGTTTTGGTGTCAGTAACAAAAATCACATTAAAAATGAGCACGACAGAGCATCTTCCTTGGAGTTATTTGAAGACAGAGAGAAAGAGATTCCCCTCTCTGAGTGGTGACTTGGTCAAGCAACTAGAGTTTTGGGGAGTGACACCTCATTTCTTGGGTAAAGGATGCAAAATTTAGAATACGATTTTGACTCTCTTTGGAAGGCACCAGCAGCTCTGAATTCTGGAATAAAATTTAGTGAAAAGTCCTAATAAAGATATGTAAATCACATAAAGATAGATAAAAGTAGTAAAATTTTTCATTTCAGAAAGACTTCCCCACACTGCTGGGTTTAGAGCAAGCAAAGTAAGCTCAAATCAAAGATGACAGGCAGGTATAGATAAAGAAAGCTATTAACTTCCAGACTTTGGTTACAGTTCAGAAATATGAGTCTAAAGCAGGGGTCTTAGATGAAGGTAAAGCCAGAAAGACAATTTCTCTTTCCAGAATTTTATTCTCAGGCCATGAAAAGCTGGGCTCTGTAGAGGGAGGGTCGGTTAAAGGGTATTCTGTGAGATAATTTTAAAGCTGATTTCTGTAAAATCAGCTCATCAGCATTCTGCATGGGGGCTGTCCACCTACTGGTGACATCAGAACGGCGGAGAGAAAAGCCTTCCTGGTCTGGACTGGACTGTTCCTTGCAATCAAGTCTGAAAGTGCCTTTGAGTTGGAAGGACTGCCCACTCCAGGAAAGAACCTCTGTCATAGCTGGAACTCACTTTAGGGATTTGAAACTCACTCTTGCCAGTCATCCATGACCGACATGTGACCACTGAAGGAGTCGACTATGCAGAATATATAAATAAGACGTGCCCCGGCGAAGAGCAAGTAGTGCTCAGTCCTGCAGACAGCACTACTGAAGCCCCAGCTGGGAAGTGGTATCTACAAATCAAAACTGAACAGATCAAGTATCTCAAATACTTCAAGATTGTGTTTGCAGTTCTCTGTGTAATACCTTGATTCCTAACCTACTGTGTGTGGTTTGGACACATAGTCTTTTTTTTTCTCCCAAGAGCAAAACGTTTTATTTAAAAGCTGAGAGACAGAGAGAGAGAGGGAGAGAGAGAGAGAGATGTGCAGGGGGCGGGGGGGGGAGATCCCTCTTGAAAAGAGAGGGTCCAAAACTGGTACCCCACGGACACAGAGTCTTAAATGCTCTCTTTCTGGGGTCATGTTGAGAGCAGCACACCTTGAAATCATCTCAATTACTCGAGGATCAGAGAAAATCTGGGGCAAAGTATATGTCATGAAATGATGGGCCACGCTTATACATCAGTACTCTTTCTCCCTGAGTTCTGAATTTCACCTTCAATGAACACCTCATCTCTATTTCACAGCGATGGGAACTACATTTTAAACATAAACCCCAAACCAAAGTAAAATATAAAGTGCAGTGAACTCCTAAATGTGTCCGTTTTCCACCCTTCCAACTTAGCCTTGTGGTCGGGAATTACACCTATCTCCTTAACCTCTCTCTCCCTCTCCTAGTGGAGTGGCCTTCAATTAATGAATATTAAATCGATGCATATTGACAGACAGCTATCATACAGCTCCCTCAACTCTCAGAGTGTGTTGACTCCATGTAACGAGTGGAATAGTGTCCCTCAGAAGCCAAGCCTACCTAGAACCTCAAAATGTGATCGTATTTGGAAATAGGGTCTTCGTAAGATGTGATTAGTTAAGACTGTCCCAAGAAGATGAGGCCCACGGTGGAGCCATGCCAGGAGAAGGTGAGGGTTGCCAGCACCAGGAGAGATTCGTGGGACCAATGTTCCCTCAGAGCCTCTGGGAGGAACCAACCCTGCCATGGAAACAATTCTGTTGCTTCAAGCCACCCAGTGTGTGGTACTTTGTTACAGTGTCTCCAAGGAACCCAATACACTCAAGGGAATAAGAGGAACATGTTTCTGCTTATCCTTAAAAATCCCCACATGACAGGGGACTTGCACATCTTTTTCCTTTTCTGTTTTGACGATTGGCTTTTCTGCAAATTTATTCAAGGGGCGCCTACCTGATGTCATGGGAATTCATAAACCTGCACCCAGTTAGTGGAGTCTCCTGTGAATGTAAGACTGTTCGGACCTTTGCAAAATCTCCATGGTCTTTCCTGATCCATGGATGATCCTCCAGGAAAGAGCCGCCTGTGCAGACACCAGAGATCGCCAGAGTCCAGCCTCTGTGGAAGCCCCACCGCACCCAGGGCCAGGAGACAGCCCACTGCCCCTCCTCCTGGAGAGTGAAGGACTTGCTCTTCCAGCCCTTGTTGTGTTTGGTGTCAGAGGTCATCTAGGTCCCTCGATCCCACAGCGGGAGACAGCTGCAATCCTGGCTTTCTCCTCTGTTTACATTCACAGCATCTCTGAGAGGAAATCCCTCTCCCACCCGGAGAGATGGGAGAGGCCCAACTTCCTCTGAGCCCTCAGCATTTCTCCTTCCCCATAGCCCTCATCCAACTCCTGAAGTTAGGAGGGCTCCTCTCTTCCTCCTCCTCCTCCTTGGCTTCCTCCTCCCCCTCCCCCTCCTCCTCCTCC